AGTTTCGAAGGTCCACTGGTCAATTCTTGGAATCGCCTCGATTCTTGGAAATTTGGTCATTTCCGAGAAATGACGAAAATTCCAGGAATTCTCGAGAACTGAAATTTTCTAAGGCCTATTGGTTAATTCTTGGAATCGCGTCGATTCTCGGAATATTCGTCATTTCCGAGAAGTGACGAAATTTCCGAGAATCGAGTCGCTTCCAGGAAGCGACCTCCTTACACATCATGTTCGCCTATTAGAAAGTCGATTTTCGGCCAAAAATTTTCGAAAATCGAAAATCCTGACTTTGTATTAGGCGAATATGATATGACAGGAGGTCGATTCTTGGAAGTGCCTCGATTCTTGGAAATCACGTCATTTCCGAGAAATGACGAAAATTCCAGGAATTCTCGAGAACTGAAATTTTCGAAGACCCTTTGGCTGAAAATCGACTTTCTAATAGGCGAATATGATATGACAGGAGGTCTCTTCCTGGAAGTGACTCGATTCTCGGAACTGACCAAATTCCAGGAATTCTCGAGGACCGAAATATTCAAAGGGCCATTGGTCAATTCTTGGAATCGCGTCGATTCTTGGAATTTTCGTCATTTCCGAGAAATGACGTGATTTCCAGGAATTCTCGGGGACTCTAGCACCGAACGAGTATATTCGCGCGATTTTCGAAATATTTCCGTAATTTCCGTAGTTTACGCTAGAATTTCGGGATTTTTTCGAATTTTTCGATGATTACGCATTCCTGGTGGTTTCTGGCATTAGTTTATTCAATTTTGCAATGGAATATTGTTTAAACAATGGGTTTTTTGCAAAAGGAAATGGATTTGGTGCGTAAGGGAGCAATAAATAGACTGTAAAATGCTGTAGAACAATACTGGTATATTGTAACCTTTTGTAATATACATTTTGCACAATAATTTTACAATAAACAATTGATTTTTTCATAATTAGTTGCATATCTCCGTTTCTCCTGATGTTCAAGACCGTTCCTTGCTTCTGATGGTGCTCTGGAAGGTCCACCTGTAATTTATACAAGAAAAACATTAATTTTACTAATTGTTAATAAAAGTTATAAACAATCTCCGACGAATCTACCGAATTCAATGGTTAATTCAGTGCGAAATTAACATGTTAAGCAGTTCTATTAAGGTAAAGCTTACAATAAAGAGAGAATCGCGCTTGCAACTTTGTTACTGAAAGTCACTCCCGAAATTGCACATTGTTGCAATACGGCGCGATGTGCAACAATGTGCGGATTTCCGCGACAACAAAGTTGCAAACCCAGAACGCGTTTGCAACATTGTGCAATTTTCGGGAGCGACTCCCGGCAACAAAGTTGCAAACCCGATTACGCGTTTTGCATCAATGTGCTTTTTTCGGGAGCCCGCGAGAGTCACAATGTTGTATTGTCGTTTGTAACGCTGTACGACATGCAAAACATTGTTGTATGCAGTACTTTGTACGCAAAGCATTGCCACAAGCATTTACTTGAGCACTTGTGTTCAAATGAAAAAGTGCTAAGCCACATTTTCAACTTATTCATCTATGGATAATGCGGCTTTTACGAAAGCATCTCTATGGAACATATATGCATTAACCGTGTTCCTTATTAAAATAAGTTTTGTACTAAGTAGAAATTTCATCCCATTCGAAATGAAATATACTTGCAATACAATTGAAACCTCCCAAAGTGTATTCTCTTCTCTCAAATAAAGTTACCAATCGAATTCTTAGAACCCTCCACCGATTAACCAGCAAAAACGACACACAGAAATAATAATATCGAAGTTTTAAAGCAGTACCGTTCATAATTCTTATCTACCTCTCGTACAATATCTTAAAGCAAATTACGAGCACATTAGTTTACACGTCCATTCGATTCACCCTCGTGAGCAGCCGGGAATCAATCGCGGGCACCCTATGTAGACTATATATGTAGATTCACATATAATTTTTATTAATATAACCCTTGTAGTTTAAAAGTTATTAAATATTATATGAGAGAGTCTCCTATTCATCGTACTCGAGCATAGTTATCTCTTATAAACAATTGCCAATATCTAATAAAACATATCACCTACGCATTTAAAAATTATTGCAGAATATAGACAAAGGTCTATACTATATTCTACATACTTCCACGTGCAAACTTAATCATGTATATTCGTGAAAACGACGGAAATCCTTTACGCTTGAATGCGACGAGTGCAGTACTCACCCAAATAATGTTTAATATCTCGCAAATTACGAAGAATATGTTAATGAAAATAGAAGAGGAAACTAGCTAAAGGAATAATCTTTCTAATGCATGTATGAAAGTGTACAAATTATTCGTATAAAGTTGCAAAATTATTGAAAAACCAGAAGCGTGTGCGGCATTGCTTCCGACGCTCCGCATAAAAATTGTTGATAACTAATTAATGAAAGGATTTAGTGCATCATTATCTATATGTGAAAGTTCATAAAGGTCCACACTACATTCTTCAATTCTAAAAGTTCACAGAATCATCGTAAATAAAGAGTTATTCATGATTTTTCTCTGTCCGACTTGATTTAGAGCGTGGTTAGGGGAGCTTAGATTCCGCGGACCAATAGGAAACGTTTTCTCTCTATCCTTCTCGCACAGTAGTGCGTTCCTTGTCTAATACCTCTATTCATATTCTGTGATCCGAGTAACGAGTGGTTAGTTCGCGCAGCCAAACACGAGATGGCGTTAGCTTTATGCGAAACATTTTTTTATCCTTGTCTAACCGTATTCCCTTCCTTATCTTACTCATTTCTGTATAGCTGAATACCTGGACGAGTTATCCTTTGTGGTAAACACTACTAATGGAACATCAGCATCTTCCAATAAGAATTCCATTGCAAAATTAAGTAAACTAAGTTCGGAAATCGCTAGGAATTTGTAGAAATCGAAATAATCCAAATAATTTATTTAATTGTGTAATGGAATATGAAATAATGGGTTTTGTGCAATAGGAAATTAATTTAGTGTGTAATGGAGAAGTAAATAGACTGTAAAATGCTGTAAAACAATACTGGTAACTTGTAACCTTTTGTAATATACATTTTAAACAATAATTTTACAATAAATAATTGCATTTCTTCGTTTTTCCTGATGTTTAAGTTCTTTCCTAGTATTTTATGAGGTTCTGGGAGCTTCATCTGTAATTTAAACAATAAGAACATTAATTTTTCTAATTGTTAATAAAAATTATAAACAATTTTCGACTAATCTACTGCATACAATGGTTAAGTTAATGCAAAAGTAGTATATTAAGCTGTTTTATTATGTTATAGCATACATTTAAGACTTCCAATAGTTATAAACAATCATCTAAATTGTTATTTAACAAGGAGCACTAATTATTCTATAGTCAAAGTACTTGAAAATGAATCAGAAACTTTATTTTACTATTTCCATATTAGTAATGTTAAAGCAATCACAAATTTTTTACAAGTATCAATTTTAAACTGCTTACTACATGCAATTATGCTCTAATTTACAATAACCATTATTAAAGATGAAAAATTCAACGAATTTTTATTTTAAAAATCAACCAACCTGATAGTACTTCATCTCTGACGATACTCTCTATCCTTCCACTTTGAACGTTGACGGCAGACTGAGCTGAACAATCCCTCTGGTCTTTCTTAGAATCCTTAAATTAAACTCTGATAATAAGAAACTACGTAATTTTTAATGTTCCTCCTTACAGATTGTAAAATTGAGAACATTCTAATTAATTTTGTTCTTACTTTAAGGGGTATCCCCTTAAGTAAGTCTTATATGAAAAATTTTTCGAATAACGAATAGTTCGGAAGATAATTGCACGGATCGATTAAACTGAGACACCTTTATATTAAATTATTCTTAATTATTTGAAGATTCACGAAATTTTTATCTTTATCAGTGGCAGGACAACATAATGAAATTGTAATAGACATTGAATAACATTTGTCTGCTGCTTGATTAACTTACATGCATATTTATTTCATGACTTTACATTTTATTGCATTTACAATGAAATATCACTTTTACAATAAGTTAAAGAAATATTTTCTACAGAACTTCTACCACATAGCTCGTTGAACACCAGCTAGTTTATTATAATCAGCTAAGTCGCGAAATACAATTCTTGACAACCTCCATCTGCAAACAACACCGTGTCCTCGAGAAGTTAATACACAACGTTGTGTTAACTGTCTCAGAGCAGTTTGACGAGGAATCGTCTCATCTATTTGTTTACCAACAGCTTCCTAAAATAAGAGAGAATAAAATTACGTTAATTAAATATAAAATATAATTTGTTGTTACAGTAAACTCATATATTTTTCAACATAAGAAATTTCTACGTGTTCATCTATTACAGTTTGAGGTTAAACGGTGTACACTTGATTTACCCGAAGTTCAGGTGGTAAAATATCGTTTCTTTTCATTGCTACTAATCGTAACCGTTCCGGTGCATATTTCTCAGCCAATTTTCTTCGTTTATTATCACGAATCGTCCATCGACCAACATGTTTATCGCGTACTTGCTGAAACTAAATACGCAATAAATTTAAACTAAATACTATGAAAAAGAACGTAACTTTCTATAACAAAAAATAAACACACATTAGTAAATAAAATATTTAAAAATTATACATACACAGCATGCTGCAAAATTTGTTTTATTTGAGAAAATATTTGAAAATGCTGATAAACAACTCCTTAGAGCAGCCATCTTTGGTTTAACAGCTGTTCTCCATGATATTCAGTGTCATATTACACATTGAATTTACTATGGTTATATGTGGTATTCTACCTATGAACCTGTGTTTTATTACATTTCTCAAGCAAACTTTTAAATAAGTATTAACAAGTACAACATTTGTGACCTATCTATAGAAAACTGTTTCAGATTAATTTTGTTCGAAAATTATTTTGTAGATTAATATTCGTTCAAACAAGTATTTAATAAAACTATTTTATATATTAATGCATCACTACCCACACAACTAGAATCAATATTTATGCTACAATAATGTATCCAAGATATTAAAATATTTCGAGTAAACGATTTAGTGATTCAGTAATCATACAAAAAGTTATAACAAATATTTATTTCAATTTTGATTTATTCACCAGTATTTTATATATATATATAGGGGTAAGGGAGTAATAGAATAAAATGCTTTTGTTTCTGTAGCTCCTTTATTCATTTTTATTGTTATTTATATGTATGTACAGAAAACCGTTGTTAATCAATTTTAATCGGAAAATCGCGGCTAAAAGTGTGGAACCGTTGCAGAGCAATCGTACTTCCGCACATACTTCCTTCCAATATAGAACGTGTAAAAAGACAAAGTAAATCTTTGTAAAGAAATATATCGTAGAAAAGTGTTTGTGTATATATCTTCAGCAGTTCAATTCCTTACCTACTCAGGTAATTGGAAAGTAATTAAAAAACAGGTCCCATCTCTCAATTAAATTCTTACTGGAACTACCAATCTTCCTTTTCTAGCTGCTTCATTTTTTTTTTACGATCGATGTATCCGATTTATAATGATGAATTAAAACAACTGCAGTTTTTCAAATTAATTTCTTAAAAATGATGTCGGAAATATGAAGCATTTTACGATAAGGATGGCGATGATTAATTAATAATAATGACGGCAAAAAAAATAATAATGAGATGTTTCTCGAATATCGCAGATATAGGATTTATTTCCGTATAATAATTAGAAAATATAATTAAGCCGAGCTAAATTATGATGTTTGTTGATGTTCTTGTGAAACAGATGTTATAGGTAGTTTCCATAGTTCATTTTCTTTTTTCATGGAACTCGCGAACGAGAAAAGTATCTGCTTGCATGCACTTGTTGGCAGTTTACCTTTCCTACGAAATTCTTTACGATGAGAAAAGTGACGGAGTAACCATTTGGATAAATGGAATATACGAATATCAAAAAAATATGGCGAATGCGCAATTTTATGCACATAAAATGCCAGTCGTCGCGATTCTTTACCGACTCTATTATCCTTAATTATTGGTCGCGATTTCGTAAAAAACATTGTAGTCCCCAGTGACAACAACGTAATGCTGGTCTCGCGCGAGGAACGTGAAGAAAGAAAGTAAACTACTTTAACTACTATGTGCCGAAGCCCATCTGGCGATACACATATACGGAAATTAGTTATTTCTTTTTCTGGGCCTTCTCGGCAGCCTTGGTGACTTTGCCAGTAGCATCCTTGAAATTGACAGCTTTGATGACACCGACAGCTACTGTTTGACGCATGTCACGAACAGCAAAACGTCCCAAAGGCGGGAATTCTTGGAAAGCCTCAACACACATAGGCTTGCTTGGTACAAGCAAAACAATGGCCGCATCTCCACTTTTAATGGATTTTGGATTTTCTTCCGTGGTTTTTCCGTTACGGCGATCACATTTTTCTTTAATTTGAAGGAATTTACACGCAATATGAGCAGTGTGGCAATCCAACACTGGTGTGTATCCATTACTAATTTGACCAGGATGATTCAACACAATGACCTATAACAAAAATGAAAGGCATAAGTAATTTTTTAAATAATAAAAAATATATGTATGTACATATCTCATCATTATGCTAATTAATGAATATAAATTATTTAAATTTATATTAGAATAATTTACCCGTAACTTTTAATATTATTGTAAATATGTACCTGTGCAGTGAAATCAGCAGCACCTTTAGGTGGGTTGTTCTTTGAGTCACCGGCTACATAACCACGACGCAATTCCTTAACTGACACGTTCTTGACGTTGAAACCAACATTATCACCGGGAACAGCCTCTTGCAAAGCTTCGTGGTGCATTTCCACGGACTTAACTTCAGTGGTCAGACCCGCAGGAGCGAATGTGACAACCATACCTGGTTTCAGCACACCAGTCTCAACACGACCGACTGGTACTGTTCCAATACCACCAATTTTGTATACATCCTATAATCAAATTCAACATTATTATTATACGCTCTTTAAAACATGAGTAATTTCCAAAACTTTTATTTTTATCAGACGTATCTAACCATCACTGAATAGTTAAATTCTCTGGTGAAAACCACGAATGAATAAACAATATTATCATCATAACACGCGAAGAAAAAAACTAGTTACACAATTCTAGTACAACAGACCTGAAGAGGAAGACGAAGAGCTTTGTCTGTAGGTCTGGTAGGTGGAAGGATAGCATCAAGTGCTTCAATAAGGCATTTTCCTTCAACTTTATTTTCTTTGCGCTCAACAATCCATCCCTTGAACCAAGGCATCTTTGCAGAAGCCTCCAACATGTTATCTCCATGCCAACCAGAAATTGGCACGAATGCAACTGCAGCAGGATTGTAACCAATTTTCTTAATATAAGATGACACTTCCTTCTTAATTTCTTCAAATCGGGATTCGGAGTACGGTGGTTCAGTGGAATCCATTTTGTTTACACCAACAATCAGCTGCTTTACACCAAGAGTAAAAGCAAGCAGAGCATGCTCACGGGTTTGTCCATTTTTCGAAATACCAGCTTCGAATTCACCAGTACCAGCAGCAACAATCAATACAGCACAGTCAGCCTGAGAGGTACCAGTAATCATGTTTTTGATAAAATCTCTGTGTCCAGGTGCATCAATAATAGTAACATAATATTTGGCAGTTTCAAATTTCCACAAAGCAATGTCAATAGTGATACCACGTTCACGTTCAGCTTTCAACTTGTCCAATACCCAAGCATATTTGAAGGAACCTTTGCCCATCTAAAAATTTATTATCATAATATTAGAATTTTATAGCTGATATGCAATTTCAATTTGGCATACAAAATATAATGTAATATCTTCTACTCTAAATTCTATTCCTTTATCACTGTGCCAAAGAAAAATATCAGTGACAATTACGTCAATATTTCATTGTAAGTTCTTAAATTTGCGACATTAAAGTAAATAATATTAAAAACTAATTGCAACAAGTTACATTTTATATTTGCCTACAAATATTGTATATATTAATTACTTACTTCCTGGGCTTCCTTCTCGAATTTTTCGATGGTACGTTTGTCAATACCACCGCATTTGTAGATCAAGTGACCAGTAGTGGTGGACTTGCCGGAGTCGACATGTCCAATAACGACAATGTTAATATGAATCTTCTCCTTACCCATGATGAAGTTTTGGCGAGACTTTCTTGGTTAACTCTGTAATAAAATAATATATATTAATTTAATTGCAAAGTAGTAAATAAAGTGAACTATTAAAATTAAATTCTCGAACGTATAATGTTACTTTAAAAGGTTGTGTTCACACATCATGTTATGAAAAATATTTCGAACTTATTTCGTAGCTAAAATTTTGTAATTGTTCTAAATTCTTTCAAATTTTGCTTAGAAATATTTACTCTTGTTAAAGTTATACAAATTTAAAAGTTAGCAATTTCTATTACGAATGCAGCAGGTGTTTGCGGTTTAACGTCCACGTGGCGATATCTGAATATTCGAGAACGGAACTAGCAGCCATTTTGTAGATGGCGAGAACATTGCAACGTTGCCATGAATTTCTTTGCGCTTGGCATTGCACAACGCCACGTTATGAACCAATTTTAATTACGTTTAATGAAAAGAGCCGCAATATTTTGTACATATTTAAATTTTGCTACTTTAAAATTTACAACAAATGTAATAATATGATTGAATAATTTACAAACGTATCTTATTATTCCTACGTTAACAAACATTTGGGGTAATAGATTAAATTTGGAAGTAAAAATTAACGTGAACTAAGTAAAACTGTCAAAATATTTGCAAATTAAAAAATTATGTGCAACAAGTATCAGTGCGTCAAATATTGATACAAGTATACCGTTCAACTACTAAATTTTGCACTTATTACTTCCTGCGATGTAATTTTCACTTTTAATCACTTCAACACTGCGATAATTTATTTATTAATTAAAAAATGACTGGTTTAACGAGTCACTACACTAGAAATCAGCAAGCAAGTTCCATTGTTGGCGAAGAGTCGTCCTACAATGTCGTCACTGCACACGATTTCCAGTAGCTTGTACTGTGTATCTGGATACTTTAATTACGAAGATTCAAGCGATAATTGCAGCTCTTTTCTTATTACATTGTTAAAATTACTATTGTTAATATTTTTAAAACTTCGTGAACTGCACAATCAAGATTTTACACTAAGGATATTTCCAGTGATTCATGAACTCGGAATCGAAACTCCAGCTCTGACAAGCGACCGCCATACTGCATCCGGTTATTTGCATTTTTCTAATTTTTTAAGTTTAAAATTACTTTTAATTATTTATTGTACCCCATAAATTTTCCCGTATAATCAACAATTAAATGCAAAAGTCAAAGTGCTTTTTAAAATATACGATAAACGAATTTAACAAAGATCAGCATGTGGTTTGCGTTTGAACAGCCGGCAAATATAACGATCAACCATGCGTCCGTTTTCCAATGTTATAATTCACCGAGAAAAACAATATTTCAGTAAAACTGTTGTCACTACACATTTTGTCCATATTTCATTCGTTGTTCTATTCCGTACCTGACGTCCGATGCTACCTTTCCGGTAAGAAAATCGACGGATTATACTCCTGTGCGTAAACCACGAACAACCACTCACCTCCAGATGCCACGACAGAAAGAGATCGTCCAAGTAAAGTGACATGCGCATACGGCTTCGCAGATGTAGCCTCGAACCCAGCCCCTCCAGCATATTGATCATTTGCAAA